GCTCAAGTGGTAGAGCGCTTGCCTTGAGCTGAAGAGCTGAGGGACAGAACCCAGGCCCAGAGTTCAAGCCCCACAACTGACCAAAAAAAAAAAAAAAAAAAAGACAACCTTGACTCAGCTATCATAAATATATATGACATCATCAACTAACGTTGGGATGGAGATGATGGGATGGCAGCAGGGATAGTGGTGTGGAGCTTTCTAACTAGAAAATAGAGGCATCAAGAACTAGTTCAACTTGTGTGCTTTTTAAACACACATTTTTATGACCCAAATCTTCTTTCTGAATAATTACTGACCTCAACAAGCTACTGATACATGTTTCCTGCTGTAAATCATTGTTTTCTATCTGTTTCTGTGTACACTATTCAGTTTTTCTAGATTGCTCACCAGAACAATCACCCTCATTTAATTCTCCTTTAACTTATTAATAAAATACTATGAAAGATACGGTGTTAAAAAAAAAAGGTCCTATCTTCAGTCCTCTAGAATAATAATAGTCAAGTGAATAATTAGTAATATTGTTCTTGGCAACCTTGGCATATACAAGAGCAAACTGGCTATACAACTGAAATTAAGATTAGCACAATTCTTAAAAAAAAAGATTAGTACAATCCTTATAAAATATAATGTGATATGGACATCCTCAAGGGATGACAGGAAGAAGTGTCAGTGGGAAGGGGTGACATTGTTCAAGAAGAATTATATTCGTTACTTGATGTATGGAACTGTAACCCCTCCAATCCAACTCTTTAATAATAGCAATCATATTATATTTTTTAAAAAGTCAGTGTGAAATTCTGAAGCAAGCACAAGCATTTGCTATCATAGTGATGGGCGAGTTTTCCCATCAACATGCTGCATGCACTCCAGAGGGTTCAGACAGTAGCATCAGATACCATGAAACCTCACGCAATGTAGCACAAGCCAAACAGAAAACAAATGCTCTCCATGTGTTTATTTCATACTTGTGCTTATTGAAAACCCAGCCACTTTTGCTAATGTGTCCCAGATTTGTATCTCAGGCAAGTAATGGGAAGGCATTTTTGTCATTTAGTTCTAGAATTATCTTAAGTTATTTAATTCTAGGATTGCTTCTCCTCCTTAATCCCAAAGATTAATGTTTATTTCTTCCCAGGCCAGAGATACAATTTAATTATTTGATTTGTTGTACTCATGAATGTCTCTTGAATTTTTAATATACTAAATTTAGCATTGAAATTTGTGTTTTATAAATGTATGCCTTTAAGGTATGTGTGCTTTTAAGCTCCTAAAATTAAAAAAAATCACATACTATGCATTTGACTCTAAATTAAATAAATTGTAGTCCTTAACTCTGTAGTAAAAAAACATAATCCATGAAATGAAAGTGTCACAAGAACTCTCAAATCTACTGCTGATCCTAATCTGGTTATAGGGGACTATAAATCAGATGGTATGATTGTTATTAATAATGATTAGGCTATAGGACTTTGATATAACAAAATGGTCAAACCCACATTCCTCATTAATGAATATGGTTCCTGAGATTAATGACATTGTAAACAGGAAGCCCATCATCAGGGAGTAACTAAGAAGCAAAGGTGGGGGAGGGTTAAAAGATGAAGAGAAAGATTAGGTTCAATGGTTGAAAGGTACAAGGGACTTTGTCTGTTTATCTCTAGAACAGTGTCTGATATCTCTAAGGTGACTAATTCAAGCACAATATGTATAAAGCCATGATTATACCCTCAAGTTTATTGAAATTGTCCTTAATATAGACCCAGATGAATAATTTATTTTTCTCCCATAAATTACTTCTAAAGTCATGTATGTTACACTGGAGTAAACTTTAAACACATTTACCTCATAGATACTGTGAATACTTAAATAAAATATCACAAGGGTGTAGTATCTAAGTCATATAAGCAAAGCAAAAGAAAAAGGGAAATTTTCATATCATTGGAAAAAAGAAATAAATTACCCTCATTTAGACTTCAAGTAGAAAATAGGTTTATGCTGATACCTCATTCTGCTGATATATAGAAGCTGGACTTTTGGGTCCAAAGAAATACCTTTTATTAAGGTATTTGTTTTTAATGTATATTGATTTTGCCTCTCTTTGATTTCGATCTTTGAAAACTATTCTTCGAAACTGTTCAATGTCTATCCAGCACATAAGGTCCATGCTAAAATAAAAACAAAGGAAAAAAATATAGCCCTTATTTATTTCTGTAAACTCTACTTAACACTAACAAATTACTGTTTTTGACAAAACTCAGGAAGTGGCTGCCTGGGCCAGTTAGCACATCTTCTTACATCAGAACTAATGAGTACGATGTGGTCTCTGATTCTATACTCAGCCAGTTAGTTTTGACTCTGTTATAATCCAAATCCCAGTCAAATGACTGATGGCTAGGAACTGGAACCAGAAAAATAATTTATCATTATTGGTGCTGTCTCTGGGTTCTTCCATTAATGATGGACTAGTTCCATCAATTTCAAATATGAGAAAAGATCCACACAGCATGTCCATTTGATAACAGACAAGATTTAGAAAAATCCCAATCACAATGAGGGGAAACTACATAGAGAAGTTTGGCTTCCAGTGTCAACCAGTTTCTGTCAACTTGAAAGAAAAAATATGACCATATTTCAGTTTATATTGGATAAATGTAAAATTCCAAGACTCTGTACAAACTCATGTTATTTCATTATATTACAATATTTTCAGTAATCTAGGCGATATGTATTTCCTATAGTTAGTAAAAAAAACATAAAATAGAGAAATAGTAGGAAAAGGAAATAAAAACAGTACACTGGTGTTTTAAGTCAGCCAGTGTTAAGTATCAACAAAAATCATGTAACCACTTAAAACATTTGAAGGTTGCTATAAAACAACTGCATTGCAACAAAAAAGTAATTCTACCAATTTCACATGATTATGCTCATGAGTTTTTACTAACAATGTTTAAAAAAAATCTAGCACCAAGCAAGATTATAATATAATGAATCAAAACCAGTACCTACGTAAAGTATCAAAAATAATACTTTAAGTAACCAATACATTTTAAAATAAATGTATTTCTCACCTTGAAGAATGAGATTCAAGAAATTGACGAAAATGTTCAAATTCCAATTTGTTTTTAAGCAGATCATTAAAAGTAAAATGCTTGTATTCTTCAGGAACATTATTCCAATATTCTGTTTGTTTAGAGACATTAGCGAGTGATAAAATACTAGTTCCAATTTCATCAGTGGTACCCTAATGACATAATACTTTTCATAAAAATCTCTTAAATGCAACAAATCATTTACAATTTTAAATAGAAAAATCACAAGAAAAATTAGCTATTAAGCTAAGACTGTTAAACAATTCAGTTGCAGAACTAAATAAAGAATCTAGGTGGCTCAGATTTAATTCATGTCAAATTCCTTTCCTTTCACCCCACCCTCTTCTTATAAACATTTAGCAAACATTTAAAGCATTTGTTTTAAAATACTAATTTTATTCTACTTCTTCTTGTAAAGCAGTAATATGTCTGTAGTAAAAAGGAAGAAATTGCAAGTATATGTAATACTACAATACAGAGATAACCATATTATATATAAGCATATTATATATAATAAAATATATACATGTCTTCTAGTCATTTATATCTATCTTCAAAAATGAAGATAGAATTATGCACCTACATATAGTTTTGTTAACAATAGATCATGAACACAAACCATTACCCTATAATTAAAAGTCATACAGGATACTTGTCTAATAGTTCATTCCTTAATGTAATTCTCATATACAAGGTAACTTTTCAGCCCTTTGATATTTTGTGGACATTTTATAAGGAATAGGCTTTCTCTTTGAAATGTCCTTCCTTAGATAATTCCTTACATAATGAATTAATTCTGTTTTTTAAAAAGTCTCATTATAAGTTACCAATATTTAAAAGTGAATTTTCCTTATATAGAAGGGTATGGAGAATGTTATAAATTTTATTTAGTTCATTAAGTTTTGATCCAACTTTTCAACATACTACCCTTACGGATTTTTATATCCTTTCCAAGATATTAATTAATAGCATGTTAAACAAATAGCTTCTGGGTTCACAAGGCACAAAAGGTTACAGTTTTTAAAATACTGTTTTTGTAAAACTTCATTGCATAAGAAAATTTTCAGAGAAGTACAAAGAAGAATGTTTAAAAAAAAGTCTTCTGAAATCTTACCACTCCGAACTATCTGTAACATTTTGGTGAATATTTTTCTGTTGTTAAATGTGTGACTATAACATATCTGTCAAATGTGGTATGCTAGGCAAAGGAACAGACACTGCCTATTCCCTATATTAAAAACACATGATCTCCTCAATGTGAGATCTCACCACCAGTAGAAAAGTGATCATCTTCTCTAGCATAAAAAGGTTGTTTTTGTAAGTAGAAAGTTGTCTTACCTCAGCTTTCTTGGAAAATGTCTCTTTATGCAAAGCTTGTAGCTTTCTGAAGTATGTAGAGTCTAACTGCCGAGTTTCTTCCTCCAATTGCACCTAAAATAATGAAAATGCTTGTAACATCAATAGCATATACACTGTGAAAGAGTAGAGAAACGAATTCACAATTGACTAAAATAGTGGGCTTGCACCAGCGATTCTTCTAGCTTTTTTTTTTCCCCCAGGGCTGAGGACCGAACCTAGGGCCTTACGTGTGCCAGGCGGGCGCCCTTCCGCTGAGCTAAGCCCCCAGCCCCCCAGCGATTCTTTTGGAGGCAAAACTAGAAAAACTAACTTAGTTAAAAAGACTAAATGTAGAAAGGTCAGACTTCAAATTATACGATTAAAATGTATATATTTCTGTGTAATGATAAATTGCCACAAATGACCACTTCTTTCTGGACACCCAATGTAAACTAATAAGCCAAATGTGGATTATATTTTCAATTTCTATTCAGTCATGATAATCATGAAGGTAGTCACTGCTGGATTCAGGGACAAAATAATTCAGAACAAGAAAAGGTTTCATATTGTTATTAGTCTAGGATAAAAGGATTTATTGCTATAACCTAAGAGGAGTCTGTCATCAAAGTAATCTTCATAGAAGGACTCAGTCTTTGGAATATGCAATCCATTATTTTATATTGTTAGAAGAACAAGACCACTCTCGAATTCTCTATTACAAGGAAAACCCAGTTTGGCTGGCTAACTGCTTGAGAACTTTCTGTATTTAACAGCTGGCTTTGCTAGTCTGCTTAGGTATCCTTTTGGGGAAAGTCTACATGATACAACCAGCTGGTCTTTTAGAGAAGTCCTCAACCTTGAATTTAAGGAAGTTTTAGAACTAAGAAAGATTTGTTTTTCCTCCTAATAAAAATAGTCAATAAAGCCTTTCATAATAATCATAGCTAATGACAATATTTTTTATTTGTCTAGGGAAGTTAGTTACAATTCTAACCCTTTAATGGCACTGCAGACACCATATACTTTGCATTTCTTTTATGCAATATATATATATATATATATAT